GGACAGAGAATCCATAAGGAAACAGTGGATTTGAACACAGTATAGATCAAATGGCTCTAACAGAGACCATTCTTTCCATCAAGAGAATATACATTCTCAGCTGCACATGGCATATTTTCTAGGACAGACCATATTTTAGGCCACGGAACAAGTCTTAAAAAATTCAAGGAAAGTGAAATCACACCAAGTATCTTCTCTGCCCACAATGGCATGAAACTACCAATCAACAGCAAGAGGAAAACTGGAAAACTGATGAACAAATGGAAATTCAACAACCAATGACTCAAAGAAGAAATTAAAGGCGGAACAAAAAAGTGTCTTGTAACAAATAAAAATGGAAATACAACATATCAAAACTTGTGGGATTCAGCAAATACAGTTCCAACAAAGAAGATCAGAGTAACAAACACATCAAGCAAGAAAGACACCAAATAAACAATCTAACTCTGTGCCCTAAGGAAGTAGGAAAAGAAGAACTGAGCCCAAAGTTAGAAGAAGGAGAACAGCAAAAGATCGGAACAGAAATAAAGGAAATTAGAGAACAGAACAGCAATAGAAAAAACTAACAAAACTAAAAGTTATTTCTTTGAAACAATATATAAATCGACAAACTCTTAGCTAGGCTAACCACAAAGAGTAAAAACCCAGATCAACTAAAGTGTAAATGAAAAAGGGGACATTACAATGGATACCAAAGATACACAAAGGATAAGAAGCAACTGTGAACAACTATATGCCAACAAACTGGACAACCTTGAAGACCTGGAAAAATTCTTAGAAACATACGGCTTACCCAGACTAAATCAGGAAGAAACAGAAAATCTGAATATACCGAATATACGAATTACTACTAAGGAGATGGAATCATTAATCAAAAATCTCTCAGGGAAGGAAAGCCCAGGACTAGAAGGCTTCCATGGCAATTTTTACCCAACAATTAAAGAATTAACACCAATCCTTTTAAAACTCTTCCAAAATATCAAAGAGGAGGGGATGCTCCCAAACTAATTTTACAAAGCCAGCATTATGCGGACACCAAAACCAGAGAAGGACATTACGAGAAAAGAAAACTACAGGCCAATATTCCTAATAAATATGGATGTAAAAATTCTCAACAAAATACTAGCAAACCAAAGTCAGCAGCACATGAAAAGAATTGAAGACCACGATCAAGTGGGCTTTATCTCTGGAATGCAAGGATTGTTCAACATATGCAAATTAATCAATGCGATACATCACATTAACAGAATTAAAGAATCATATGATCATCTCAAAAGGGGCACAAAAAGCGTTTAACAAAATTCAACATTCCTGATAAAAACTATTAATTAGGCACAGAAGGAAATATCTCAATATAACAAAGGCCATATTGACAAACCCACAGCTCACATCATACTTCATGGTGAAAGGTTGAAAGTTTTTTCTCTAAGGTCAGGAATAAGACAAGTGTGCCCATTCTCACCACTCCTATTCAATATAGTACTAGAAGTCATAGAGCAATCAGGCAAGAAAAAGAAAGAAACTGTATCAGAGTTGAAAAAGAAAAACTATCTCTATCTGCAGATGACATGATTTTATCTACAGACCAGAATAGACATTTTTCCAAAGAAGACATGCAGATGGACAACAGGTACATGAAAAGATGCTCAACATCACTATAATCGTCAGGGAGATGCAAATCAAAACCACAATGAGAAACTGCCTCACATCTATGAGAATGGCTATACTCAAAAAGACAATTATAACTAGTGTTAGTGAGGATGTGGAGAAAAGAGACCACCTGTGCACTGTTTGTGTGACTGCACTATGAGAAATAGTATTCGGGTTCCTCAGAAAATTAAAAACAGGACTACCATATAATTCAACAGTTCCACTTCTGGGTATTTATCTGAAGAAAACAAAACCACTAACTCAGTAAGATATATGTAGTACCCCCAGGTTCAGTGCAGCATTATTTACAATAGCAAATTAGATTGCTAAGGAAGCACTCTAACTGTCCATTAATGGAGGAATGGATAAAGAAAATGAGATACATATAAAAAGACACACACACATATGCAATGGAATACTAATCAGCCATAAAAAAGAATGAAATCTTGCCACTTGCATGGACGGACCTTGAAGACATATTACTAAGCAAAATAAGTCAAATAGAGAATGACCAATACCATATGATCTCACGTCTGTGAATCTAGAAAAACAAAAACATAAACAAACCAAGTTCATAGAGAACAGACTGGCAGCTGCCAGACATGGGGGATTGGGGGTTGGGGAAATGGGTGAAGGGAGTCAAAATGTAGAAACTTCCAGTTATAAAGGAGTCATACAGATGTAACGTACAGCATGCTGACTACAGTTAATACTGCACTGCATGTTTGAAAGTTACTAAGAGTAAATGTTAAAAGTACTCATCACATACACACACAAAAACTGTTACCATGTGGGATTATGGATGTTAACTATACTTATTGAGGTAATCATTTCACAAGATATATAGATATTGGATCATCGTGTATACCTGAAATTGATATGTTACACTGTCAATTATATTTCAGTTCAAAATTTTAAAAAAGATTTGTCTAACAGAATAACAAACAAGTGAGGTAATGATGATGAAAGCACTCTGTAAACTGTAAAGCACCTAACATACTAGTTATTAATATGAGGGACAATCAAAAATACTGCATGGTGGTATCACAGATAAAGACTGGATTGAGAACTGCATACAGGAAGCCTCAACAAATATTTATCGATGAATAATAA